TTACCTGAAGATTCTTCTTTCTGTGAAAGACGATGCTCTTGGCTTTTACTTTCCTATCCTTAATGTCAACTTTGTTCCCACAAAGAACAATAGGTATATTTTCACAAACACGAACTAAATCCCTGTGCCAGTTGGGTACATTTTTGTACGTTACCCTCGATGTAACGTCAAACATAATGACGGCACATTGTCCTTGAATGTAATACCCGTCTCTCAAACCACCAAACTTTTCTTGGCCGGCTGTGTCCCAAACGTTGAAGCGGATCGGGCCACGGTTCGTGTGGAAAATCAGAGGGTGCACCTCGACACCTAACGTTGCCACGTATTTCTTCTCGAATTCACCGGTCAAATGCCGCTTGACGAACGTCGTTTTCCCGGTACCACCGTCACCGACCAGCACGCACTTGAATGTAGGAATATCAGCTTCTTGGGCCATTTCAATATATTATATTACCGGATTATTAATTTACTTAGATTGCTGATATGACGAGTAGAGATCTGAAAAAGAAACAAGAAAATAATAATAATGTGTTATCCACAAAGCTGTGGACAGTTGGACGAGAGGGAAATGGAAATTGCGAGACAACGGGTGAGAAAACGGGGAAAAAAGAAGAAAGTGAAAACGCTCGGATTGTCGGTGGAAATGCCGAACCAACTCGGATGGTTGAAAGTTGCTGGAATATGCTGGATCGTAAAATCGTATCACGCGTCGAAAACGTGATCGACGTGATGATGCCTGTTTCCAATACACTCGAACAGTTACTTGAAAATGATACGTTATACGTTCGTACCATGACACGAACGCACCTACGAAAATACAATTTTATCGTATTTGTTCCAAGGAAATCGGAATGCCGGTTCGTCAACGTGTCACGCTTCGGAACGACTCAATGTACCAAAATTTACCACGTTCCACTGCGAGAGAATGGCGCTTCTCGTCGTAACACTGGTTTTCGCGTTAATCTTGCCACACGATCGCGTATAATCCAATCGAAACGACAAAGAACCGAATAGACCGACCGATCTAGATTTATTTGCCACGGGTCTATGAAAATCGGCGAATTATTGGTACGAAATTTCCCGGCAAGTAACGTGTACGTGAAAATGACCGATAAAATTTACCCTGCAGCACAGTCGTTACGGCTCACAATGGCGTTCCTTCGAGTCGGCGACAGGGGTCCGGCGTTTTCACCATTCGTTAATTAGAACGCGATCCAACTTAACCGACGAGTCCGATCGGTGCACCGTGAAAAAATTAGACTGGAATATTTTTCGGTCCAGATTGTTAAAATAATACGTAAATGGGTGTGTTTGTCGGAAAGTTACGATCGAAGAATGACGTGGCGAGCGACATCTATCACGTGAATGACGTGAGCGCGCCACATCGAGCCGGTATCGAAGAGTTTCAGTTTTTAACGGGAGAATTAATACGCGCACGTATGTGCACGTACGTACGTGAAACGATCATATATATCGGGACACGTTCGGCGGTAAACGTTGAATTTCACCGCGTACGCTCTCTCCATCCTCTCGCACTTTCTGCGAAATTTTTTCCCTCCTTTTTTTCCCTCCCTTTTTCTTTTTCCTCGCTTTAGCGTCTGACAATGCGATGGCGAAGCCGTAGACACGTAACTCAGCGTAAAAGCGCGAATCGTAAGATTTACATTTGTTGCAACAAGTTGCCCTCGATATTCGTACGATCGGGTTTACACACAGCCCCGAAGATTCTCAACTTTCTCTCGGTCTAGTCGATGAAGTCAAACATTTGACAAAGTTGAAAACAGCGTGCACCTACAGAAGGTGACAGATATAAAACATATATCGACAGATTGGATATATCGAGAGTTTGGAAAATCGTCGTTCGATGAACAAATACAAAATACGTAGAGAGAGAGAGAGAGAGAGAGAGAGAGAGAGAGAGAAAGA